ACTGCGCCGCTCGGCGTAGGGCTTCTCTTTTGAAGCACGGCTTACGTGCCTTCTGACCTCCTTTTCTGAGCTCGCGAAACGCCCCGACGACTGCAGACGATGGCCATTCCTTTGAGTCTTATTGAATGGCATGGCTGATCGATGTTCTATTTGAAGGACTAGCAATTTGCATTGCAAAGATGGCCGATAAAGGCGGAATGGGCCATCACCCATTTGAACAGTATCGACTTTTCTCCACATAATACCTTCCGTTCCAGCGAAGTTTACAACAATTCAGCAGGAAGAGTGGTCAAGTTCGTCAGAAGGTCGCGAATCCGAACGTGTTGGTTTTTAGTTTGCTACGTCTGTTGAAAAGCCTGGCTTTCTTTTTCTCCTTGTGCACTAGCATCATACCCATGCGTTTGATGGTCAGCGCTCTTGTTAACTTGCAAAGAACCAACAATAAATTTCGAGCTGTCCCAGCCAAGCAATCCCATCCCTTCTGGGCGGCAAGAGACTATCCTTCCTCGCCGGCGTGATGGTGAACCATCTTAACTGTCGCACAAAGTTTACGAAGTTAAGGGGGGACATCACTCCAAAATGATCAAAAATTGCAACTTTTTTTAATTAGTTTATATTATGGACCATTCCTTTCTGCGTCGAATGGTGAAAACCGAATTCCGGAATTCAAAAAATTGCAGTTTTAGTAGGTTGTGCGCCGCAAACATGCATAGGGGAAAAGCCCAGTTTCCCCAACTTTGATCGCGTTTTTCTCGGAACATGAAATTGCAAACGGTTGCAGGCCTCTAGGGCGCAGTTTTTGAGCTACAGCGGGGAGATTTAGCATGGAAGCTCCTTCGACATGCCGCTATGGTGGGTAGCAAAATATTTTGATTTGGTCAATTTTTATTATTTTTTTAACGTTCAAAATTGAACAATTTTGACCCAAAAAATTGAACAATTATTTTTGGCATGTAACAAATTCAACTTTAAATGATTTTTGAAATGTGATTGCGGTACCCACCATAGCCAGACATCTCAGGAAGGCTGTCACCAAATTTCAATGTTCTAGGTCAAACCGTTTGGCGTCCAGCGCTGCAACCGTGCGAAATGGTCTAACCTAACACTCAAAAATGTGTTTTCAACGAAAGCGCTGTACTGCCCTGGCGGATTGACTTAGTGTTGTTTTATGCTTTATCTGTTAAAATATGAACAATTTTCCTCTTTCCGTTTGGTTTTTATGACGTTTTTACAAAAGCACTGTTTTTGGAGTGATGTCCCCCCTTAAAGATAGTTACCCGGATGCCGTGGGAGTAAGGATAGTTGCCAAGCACCTCATCTCCTAGCACCATCGCGAGCTAGGATTGTTATCTCCGGAGAATCCAACTCGTGGAGCTCAATAGTCGATAAAGGCGTGGCTATCATCGTTTGAACATTATCGGCCTTGGTTGACAGCGTTTCTGCCGCTGCAGCACAATTGATCACAATGGCGCCCTTTTGCAGTCGGAACACGAGGAGCTCGCCGACGAAGGCGACATTTGCTGCGAGGAGGCCGCCGGCCAGGAGCACGAAGCACACCCGGAGCTGGGCCAGGTCCAGAGGGGTCACGCTGGGGGTCTGAGCAGCAGCCCGTATCTTTTCAGTGGAGTACAGGCGGGTATCCCCTACTTCCTGGAACAGGTTGACAATCTCAGGTGTGATGCCAGCAGCTCGAAATCGACCCAGAGCCGTTTTCAGTTTTCTTCTTATTCGAGAGCCCTTTTTGGCCATGAACAGCGTGGTGCCGAACTCTCCTGGAACGGTGAACTGGTGGATGTTTTTTAACGTCTCCAGCTGCGGCAGAAGAATTGGAAGAGAAGACTTCGCCATGGTGATGGCGGCGGTCCGGTTCCCCACGGCGTCCAGGTACTCTTGCATTGAATCTCGTGACCACATTAAATTAACATTGTTGGTCAACACGGATTGGGCCTGGTTCATGATTCCAAGTGACGCGTAAATTGTTAAATTGCGTTCCGCCAGTTCTTCCAGAGTTTGGATCTCATGAGAATCACATCTCATGAAGAGCTGGGACAGGAGCTTGCCAGTGTAGGCGGACGACAGCACGACGCAGACAAGCAGCCAGCTGCCCAGCAACGGGCGGCGCGCGTCCCTGCCGACCAGCGACCCAGCCTGCCCCACGAGAGGGGCCAGGGCGTCCAGGAAGGCCGTGGAGCGCCCGCCCAGCAGCAGCAACGCGGTCGCAACTCCGAGGAGTGCCAGCGCCAAAGCGACCCAGAGTGGTGCAGAGAATTCTTTGGCGACGCTGTCGGCGAGGCAGCTGCCATTGCCCATCCCGGAGGGTACCAGCACCACCAGTTTGTCCATAGCCCATGGAAACGGGTCAAATTTGGTACCCTTCACAAGCCGCACTGGGTCGGCTAAGCTCATGATGTCGAACTGGCACATCGTGATAATTCGGAGCCAGTCCGTGTGTTTTATGTGCACCGGGGTTTCCGTCGTGCGAATAACAGCCTCAACGTACCTTTTCATTACCGTGTGGTAAAAGGCGTTCTGCTTATCGTAGTAAATAACCGTGCCGGCAGTCAGCGCGTTGCGGAAAGAGTGGCACGGTTGGAGGAACCGCTGCTCCACCCCCGACACACAGCCTCCGCCTGGGCTGCTGGCTGTCCCTTTCGTGTGGTTCTTCGTGAGCGCGCCGTAGCACGTGTACACGGCGGAACCGTAGCCAGCGGCTCCGACAATGAGCGTAGCGGGTGCGTCAACATGAAGCCGTGTCGCGGCAGTGGAGCTTATTTCATCCATATCTTGCTGTGTCCACGTTGCGTTATAAGACGTCCAGAGTACAATGCGGCTTGCACAGGCTACTTCGATGGTCATCAGCGCAGCCACCAGGTCAGTGGGTTTGTTTTCGGCGATCACGAGGACTGTACTCGGCAAGGAAAGAAGGACTAGTGTCCTCGGGGACGGCCACGGCCCGGTCGGCCTGGGCTGCAGCAGCACGGACGCGGCCTGCTGCAGGCCAAGGAACGCGTCCAGCCACCGCGGCGTCCCCATGACGACCAAGTGTGGCGGGAAGGGCCCGGTGCGCAGCAGGGCGGGCTTGAGCAGGCTGTGGATGAACCGCGCCTCGCTGTCCGCGGTTGCGGGCCTGCTCTTCGGCAAAGACAAGCCGGAGGCAGCAAGAAGCGCCCCGGATGGAACCAACAGCACCGCGACGGACAAGGCCAAGGCCGAGCACGTGGCGTCGCCGGCCATCCTGGAGTGTGGCACCTCCACTGCGCACGTCAACACTTCTCCTCCAGCCGGCCAGCGAGCGAATTCTCTGTAATCTTGACTGCGAAATCGTTTCCCTCTAGCAAAAGCAGCGCCGTCAGGAAGGGGGTTGTTTGAAAAAGTGTCACCGTTGACATCCTGTACGCAATGACGAAGGCGGTGCGTCCCCTTCCTTTATGCCCTCTGGGTGGCATAGCAATTTGCAGCGCTCGATGCTTGGAAACGGACGTTCAAAGCAGACCCGCTGAGACCCACACTACAAACCTAACTGTCTACTAAGCACACGCTTACAAATGCATGCTTGCAAGTACACACTTATAAACGCATGCTTTACGCATGGAGTTATACGGCGTCAAGCATGCGTTTATAAGTATGTACTTGCAAGCATGCATTTGTAAGTGTATACTTGGCCAAGCATGCGTTTGTGTGTACTTGCAAGCATGCATTTGTAAGTGTGTACTTAGTAGACATTTAGGTTTGTAGTGCAGTGGAGGAGCTGAAAATTCAGTTTGCTGTGTGTTGGCTTGTCGGGCATCAAAGTATTGTGAGGTGATTAGGGACCCACACACGCCGTAGCTTGGCACGTGCGGGGAGTTCTTTTACCCCCCCCCAATCACCACGACCACTACTCTCTCTCTTTCTCTCTCTCTCTCTCTCTCTCTCTCTCTCTCTCTCTCTCTCACACACACACACTCACACACCAACACTACACACCCCTGCATACACACACGCTGCGCAAACTGCCAGTGCTTTGAACGAACCAAGAGGAATACACAATCTGGGAAGGGTCTTTGTCGAGTAATTGATGCCTTTCACCGAATTGGCATAGGATAATTCCTAGTGTAGCCTGTCATGACAGTGTTATGTTCATGTTGGGGGTTAGGGGAGGAGTAAAGGGAAAGTTTTTCGGATTTTCCGGTCAAGTGACGGTGTACACAGTAGAAAAAATCCACGTGAAAAGGTACAGGCACAGTCTGGTAGATAATTTGCCCGGTTCCACAGTGCGGCTTTAGGGGTACGGAGTACGGTTTATCGTAACATGGGCTCTTATGGGGAGCACGGTTTTTGGGTACAGTTGTTCTGTACACCGTGAGGTACGGTCTAGCAGTGCCTTTTTCCTTGAAATGTGCGCCTTTTTTAATAGTGTACGAAAAACTGAGAAAATTAGAAAATAAAATTGCGGCTAGTGACCTGGCGGGCTGGCACTGTGTGCGCGCTGCGTCTATGCCAGGCGCGGATCCAGGCCGGGGGAGGGGGAGGGACGATGCCCCCCGCCTTGAACGGACGAGGCCGCCGGAAAGTTAGGAATTAAGTCGTACCCCGAGTCGTACTCTGACAGGCAGGAAACTAGTGCCACATGCCCCCCCCCCCCCGTCTCTGGATCGGCCCTTGGCGGGGGAGGATGCAGAGGATGGCCCAGAGGTCCCGCAAAGGCTCGCCGTCCGAGTCAAGTCCTGCAGACTGAGTCTGAGAGTCGTTTTCGTCGCTCTGTCTCTCTCAACCCTATACGGGACGCCGCGTGAGCGCGAGAGAGGCAGAGCGACGAGAACGACTCTCGGAATGAGTCTGCTGGCAGCCGCGGAGGTCAGGCTCTACGTGCACCGCGTGCATCGCCATGCTGAGGGGCCGGGGGCGGGGCGGCGGGGGACGCGCAGGGACCAGCAGGGGCGGCCCCCGGCCAACGAGGACCAACTCGCCGAGTATATATTGTGAGGCGCAGATGGATTTCGTCACTTCGACACCAGCCACCGAAGCAGCGGCAAGCGCAGCACCGCAGCAGCAACATGATGATCTTCAGCCTGGTGAGCACACTGTGAAACCGAGTGGAGTGCGGAGGTGCGGAATTTGCCCTCTCCGCGCTTGGAAGTGCAGAGTTGGCAGTCTCCACTCCTCAAGAGTGCGATGTTCTTCACCCGTGTCTCCACGTTTGCACCACGCCAAGAGATAGGAGTCTGTGAGCTACTCGAAGTGTGGAGATTGAAAACCCCATAGGAGTGTGGAACATTACTCCGCACCAGGAAGTTTGGCACACAGTGACACTGCTAAAACCGCTGGCCTCGCCTCTCGGCGTCTGCTCAGGTTCTCCTCTCCGCCGCCGCGGTGCTGGCCGAGCCGGAGGCCCCCTTCCGCCGGGTCGCCGTCGCCGCCCCCACGGCCCCCGAGCTGGCGTACGTCGCCGCCCCCCTGGTGGTGGGTTCGCAGCGCGCCGCCCCCGCCCTGAGCGCCCCCGCCGCCGCCCTGCTCGCCTACACCGCCCCCGCCGCCCCGGTTCAGCAGGTGCAGCAGCAGTACGTGGCGAGGACCTACAACGGCATCACGACGGTGGCTCTTGAACAGCAGCAGCCCGTCGCCGCGCCGCTCATCGCGGCCCCCGCCGCCCCCGCTGCCCCCGCCAGGTTCGTGGTGACCAACGCCCCGGCGGCCCCTGCCCGCGTCGTGGTGGCCGAGGCCCAGCCCGCCGCCGTCCGCTACTACGCCCCCGAGGCGTTCGCCGTCCCCGCCGCCGCCCCCGCCGCCGCCCCCGCCGGCCGCATCGTCACCGTCAACGCCGACGGCTCTGCTGCCCGCTTCGTGGCCGTCGCCCCGGAGGCCCCCGCCGCGCCCGCCGCCGCCGTGTTCGCGGTGGCCCCCGAGGCCGCGCCGCTGTCCTCCAGCACGCAGTACTTCTCCAGGAACTTCAACGGCGTGCCCACCGTCACGTACTTCGTGGTGGGGCCCGCGCCCGCCCCTGTGGCCGTCGCCCCCCAGCAGGGAGCCGGCCCGGCCCGCCGCCCCGCTCGGCCCGGCACCAACCCCGTCCCCGCCGGCGAGCCCGTCAACCAGGGTGACGTCGAGGTGCTCGACGCGTAGGCCGGCGCGGCAGACTGTCGGGGCAGGCCGCCTGCACACCACCGCACCTTGAGGCACGCTCCCACCGACTTGATGTAAAGAAATAAACGTCCGGCAACAGATTCTCGCTTTGCCTTCTATGAACCTTCCAAATTCCCAAGTGTTGGTTGTAGTCTTGCATTACACATTGAATTTAGCAGAACAGAAGAATACAAGACACTTTAATGTGCCAGCTAGCTTCGTCGTCACTCTGCCGTCTGATTCCGAACACTGCTTTCGTCGCTCTGTCTCTCTCGCACTCATGGGGCGTTCCGTAGGGGTGCGAGAGAGACAGAGTGACGAAGCAGTGTTCGGAATCAGACGGCTGGCCCGCCAGGACCGCCGCGCCGCCACGCCGCGCCGCCGCGCCACTCCCCACAAGCTCCCCCTCCCTCCTTGACCCCTCTCTACCTACCCGGCCTCCCCGGCCTGTCCATCGCAAGACCGCTTTGCTAAGCTTGCCTTTTGTGAGGTGCAAAGATAGTTTGTCCAGAAATCTCGCATCGCACGCTGAACAGAGTGGGGACGCTGGTGTTGAATGAGACGCGACGGTATGCCTGCCTAGTCCTAGTGCTTCCGATGGATCTTTTCCTAGGGGTTACCCACTCGATAATTGGGCGTACACACGATTCCGGATTCCCGGGATTCCTGAACAAATCTTGCATAAATAGAAAGGTTTTAGAAGATTTTTCTTAGCTTTTGAGTGTTTTGTGTAGCTTTTGAGTGTTTTGTGTAGCTTTTGAGTGTTTTGTGTAGCTTTTGAGTGTTTTGTGTCTATTACATATCCCTCTCCATTGAAACTTTTAATATTTTCGATAAAATTTTGGGCAAATTACGAACGATTCCCGGACTGAGTGTACACACGATTCCCGGAGTGGGTAACCCCTCGATCTTTTCGGCGCTCTGTCTCTCTTGCACCCCTCCGAAACTGCCCATGAGTGCGAAAGAGACAGGGCGGCGAAAGGAGTCTTCGTCGCCGGCCGCCTGTCATGATGAGGGTAGGCCACCGTCCCCACATCGGTGTGTCGTGGACTGGGTGGGTAGCCTATCTGACAGGCGCTACAGCCTAGGTCCACCCCAACCCCAACCCAACGCAACGACTGACGGAAAATGTTCCAATTGCCAGTGACAGCTAAGTCTCTGCTCCTCAGAAAAAGTGTATGTTTGTCTGTGGTCCAGAGCGGAATCATCCAAGAAACACAGATCCACCGGTGGCGCCTGGGACTGGCATCTGGCATCTCCTTCGCACGTCAAAAAGGCGCGCGCTGCGCGTGAAACAAATGACGGTCCGTTTCCCTCCCTCCCCTCCCCCTCCCGCGCTTGCCGGTCAGTTTGTGTGGTGGGGGGACAAACAACAAACAGCTGATCGTTCTCGTTCTGTTGGTTATTTATCCTTTCATCATCTTAATTTTTGATGTTGACGCTATACTTGTTCGTCATAACTGGACGAATCAAATGACTCTTCGTCTCACGAGCATGGATGACCTAAGCGATTTTTTAAGTAAGTGGACAGATTGGTTTGTGTAATTTATTTTGACTGACATACACATCTTTCACATTTGTAATAAATTAAACTCGTCTTTTCAATTTGCCTAGCTATTCGCTGCAAACCAAGAATTCCACTCGATGCAAATGATGCCTGGGAGCTTTTGACACAGAAGTTGGCTGATCTTAAAGAACGAGACAGTACTTTTCCTGAGGTTTGTTGGAATTATCGTTTTAGCTTCCTCACCTTCCATACAAATATGATTTAACTTTCCTATCATTATTGTTAAGAGAATGTTGTTTTTCAGGTGTCTTCGGCTGATCTGCTCGTTTGTCGTTGTGTGAACACTCTTCATGATGCGTCCCGCAATAGCAAGCGACCCTTTGCTGTTCCCTCCAATGACTCATTAGCTGCCTGTGAGGCTATAATTGATGATGCCAAAAACCTTTTGTCGGACAATTTTTTATATAAGACTGATTTGGCGAAGGCTCTCATTAATATAGAGGTAATACTTACTCTAAATTCCCGAAGTGCCATCTAAATTAATGAACGCTTGAAGGTTCTTTTGATTTCTTATAGGTAAATATACCTCTTCTGTTAGTTTGGAAACTACATAATGCTGAAATTTTACAACTTTCATCATATGTTTGTAGGTGAGCCTGAGCTGAAATATTTGAATTTATTTAATATGGAATGTTTTGTAGCTTTTTCCATACAATTTCAAAAGGTGATGGATGTGGTTTACTCCCTTTTTTTCATCTCTCACAGAAAAATTGGTCATGGTGAAGAAAAGTTGGTGTCAGATGCCATCATCTGGTTTTTATCCAACTCAGAAGATTCTCCTGAATATGCCACTGTGGTCAAAGATACATTTGCTTCGCTTCTTGTAGCAAGCCAATCAAGGTCACTCAATTTACAGCTAGCTACTATTTGTGCGTCCATTTTAAAGAAATGTGCTGATGATGTGAGCTTTAAAACAGTAAATTAAGTACAGGCATCTAAATATAGCAGTGTGTTACACATTCTGATTTTGTTTTTGTTTTAGATTGTGGATTTGGCGATGTCCCTATCCCTACCTGAGCAATGTGCCACCTCTACTTCAACGGAGAGCACCATAGAGTTTTTTGACTTTTCCTATTTGAGATCTTCTGATCTGTGGTCTTGTGGAGGGGAAGCAATGGAACAGTTTGTATGCGCCCACCTTCTGCGTCTTCTGGGCGAACAGCCTTCACACTTTGACCAAACTCTTACAGGAGCTGTGGCCATGCAAGAAAAATGTTCTCTAAGTAGTGTGGGACACTTTTTCAAAGATTTGCTATCATTGGTTTGTGTGAACTATTCCTACACTTCTGTATCGGTTGACTCTAGAAGTGATAATTTTAATTGATCCAACATTTTCAGATTGTGAGCGGATTAGGTGCAGAAAAGATTCTAAATCAATTAGGTGTAGCTGTGGTACGTCCTACAGTTAACTGGAAAATTATTTTCAGTCTCATTGCAGTGCTTTTATCTGAAAAGCCTGAATGCTGTGATGATTTGAGAAGTAAGACATGATGATTTATAAGTTGTGTATTTTATCATTGTTACCAAAAGTTTGAATCAATGTTTTTCAATTTTAGAGCTGACAGATGAGCTTATTCAAGTTGGTCTTGAAGGGGGACGTCAGACTGAATTATCTGCTGGATTTCTTATTGCCCGCCAATGCTGCAGCTGTGATAGCAATAATTTTGGTTCATATAGTTTGTGGTTCAGCGAAAACTTTGGACCAAATTCAACTACAGCAAAGAATACAGTACAATTTCAATCACTTTTGCAGCTGCTGACTACAATAGTGCCAGTTGAATCTGCTGAAAATTTGCGAGTCCACATTAATAAGGTATTGTTTTAAATCTCCTTTCCTTCAAACTTAATTTCAGATGCCAGGATCTAATTGCTTCTTTTGCTACGCAGGTTCCACAAGCACCCATGTCTTGTCATTCGCTTCTCCACGACTATGCAGTGCTAGCTCGGACTCGTTTGGCTGATCTTAATGAATCTGCAGAGTTGACGGGCCTTTTTGCTGATAGCAGTAGAGATGCAGTTTCTGGACTGGTATGTTTCTGTGTAGGTGTCTTCATCATTTGTCAATTATGTATCTAGTGTCACCTCTTTTTTTGTTTGTTGTTTACAGGATTCCAAACAGAGAGATATTGTGCGGGTTCTCCAACATTTCCAGGGCAATAAAGAAATAATGAAGCCAGTGCTAGAGGCATCTGTTTTAAGAAGATCTTATTACAGAAATGTGTTCTTAGTTGAGCTTATGCGTCTTCCTGGTTCTGCAGAGAAGGAATTTACACCTGAAGACTTTGGGCTGAATAGGGAGACTCGTCATGAATTTATAATGGCTCTAAATAAAATGGGGAAGATACCAGAAAAAATGTTCAAGGCCTACAAAGGAAATAGGTCTCCAGAAGGAAAAGGACAAAGGAGCAATGCTGAAAGTAAAGAAGCTCGTAAAGAAACAAAAAGTGATACTGATCAACCAAAGAAGAGAAAGAGCTTAGAATTGAAGCCTAAACGATTGGCTCAGTGACGTTCATGTGAAATCATTGGCAACATTAAAATCTTTATGTCACTTACTATTTATTATTCAAATCTAAAGACCCAATGCAGTACATGATGGTGGATTTGATGTGATGAATTTGATTGCTGATCCAACTGCCATGAAAATTCAAAGATTCTGAAAGACCATGTGGTGGCAAGAAGAAAATGATTGAAGCTGAAGACAGTCTTGTTGGTTGGGTTGGGATTTTCTGTAGCTAAAATTGTATGTGTGAAGGAGTGACTGGAGGATGGATGGATGGATGGATGGATGGATGGATAAAGGAGTGAATACAACTTGGATAAAATTACACTAAATTTTGTTCAGAGATTCTAAATTGTCATAGTATTTATTTCTTTATTTCTTAAGTAATTACTTTTGTGATAACAAGAAGCATGGAAATGAGAACACATTTTATCTTAAGCGAAATACTAAAGTAATCTCTCAATTGGCTTTTAAAGTAATTGTGCACTAATCTAGCTCTAATATGCCAGCAGTCAAAAGTCATTATTGAATCCATGCACTTTGGAGAAACATCATTAAGTATCAGCATTACGTTATCACAGATACTTACAAAACTAATCAACATTAGCTCACCATATTTTATTTTTTTTAAATAAAGGAATGAATCAACGAATTACAAATTAAAATTCATAACACAAATGAAAAACAGAATATTCACAAATTCAGTCTACAATACTAAAAACATCAGAATTAAATCCTCAAAAGTGCTCCTGACATTGAGTATCATTAATATCAAAGGGTGATGTGGGCGTTAACCCAGAAATCTGAGAATAATGGAAACTGTTAACATATTTCTTCCTGTTCTGATTTACTATATTTACAGATAATTTATTTGGCCTCATTTTGTTGGTACTAGCCAAACCCACTGGAATATTTGGTGTAAGTGAACTACACACTACAACTGTAGGATGCAATGAATTACATTCCTTTGAAGAATTATTTGGAGGTAAATCTTTTAATATCTGAAGTTTACGTTTCCCTGATGTGAGGTTGGAGGGAGGCATTTCAGATTCCATTGCAAACACAACAGGGGAACGACGTCGCCATCTCCAGGGTTTACGGAGCACTGCCAAACAGCCCACTGGTTTCAGCTGGGGGGAGTGATGAACTGCTGGGAGTGCTTGTGACCACAGTCAGTCCTTGTCTCGCTCCTGTCGCAGTGCATCCCAGCGGGCATCATCAGACTCATGTGTAAGGTATCGGTAGCCAACTTGGCCTTCTAGATCCCTTAGGTCACACCAAGTTTGATAATCCTGGAAACCAAAAATTTTCATTCAAGACAAGCTATGGAGAAAAGGCAAAAGTGCAGGAAAAAGTTAGGAAAAAAGAACTCACCTGCAACCAAACATGAAGGAGTGACTTGTCCACTGTGTAGCGTTTTCTTTGTTTAACTTGAAGTAGGTTATTAATAAGATCAATAGCTGGAGGAAAATTCAAATTTAATTAATATACTGTAAAAAGTGGCAAACATAAAAATACAAAAATTATGGAAACAATAACTCACCATCTGATGATATTTCTTTCCATGGTTTGGGGGGATACATGAAAGCAGCATTTTGAATTTGATCATTGATGTCTTCATCTTCATTAAATGGAAAAGTGCCACTTAGACTGACATACACAATCACGCCCACACTCCACATGTCCAAGGACCGGTTGTAGCCTTTGTTCCTCAGCACTTCAGGGGCTAAAATGAGAGGTTTATACAAATATAAATGGAATAAGAAACAGAATGCAAATTACTTAAAACTTCAGTTGTTTGTGTGTGATAAGAACTAACCAAGATACGCTGGCGTTCCGACAACAGACCGCCGGAATGATTTTTCTCCTATGATTCTTGCAAAACCAAAGTCACAAAGCTTTACTTGAGGAAAGCTTCCATCTGAACTTAAAAGTACATTTTCTGGTTTCAAATCGCAATGCACAATGTTTTTACTGTGCAAATATTTAAGTGCCACCAATATCTGTGAAAGGAAAATGCCACCTTAGGAAACAGGTATGTTTACGGATGTTAACATATTTCGGAGATGGAAACCACAATACTCTTTACCTGTGTTATGAGGAATTTTGTAATCCTTTCACTCAGACGACCTTTTTCACTTGAGAGGATCATTTCCAGCATATCGCCCCTCAACTTTTCCATTACAACAAAAATGCGCTCTGGAGTCTCAAACATCCCTTCCAAATTGACAACACTGGCATGAGAAAGATTTTGAAGGATTGAAACTTCATTTTTTAACTGAGCCTCTTGCTTTGTTGGGAAACGTAGTTTATCTATGACTTTTATGGCTACAGTGCGACTGGATTTTCTGTGAACCCCTGGAAGACAGCAAAAGACCAATTAGGTTCTATTCAATATCAAAGTTAATTTGGCTCTTTTCGAAGCACTTACCACCATAAACGGTACCAAACTGGCCAGACCCAAGCACTTCGTCAGGGAAAATCTGATAAAGTTGACTGATATCAGCGGGTCCGCTTTCCTCCAACTGCTCGGCTTCTCCAGTTGGACTGTCTGCTTCTACACAGAATATTTATGTATTTAATATTTAATGTATTATTATTGAATGCACGCATAGGTATAGAATTTCCTTGCATGAATCAAAAGTTAAAATAAACAAACAAATCTTACTTGTGTTTGAAAGGACAGGCATCAAAGCTTGACGAATACTTGTTTCCCAGCTTTTCGAAATGTGGGCTCCTACACCACTTTCTGCTGCTGGTATATCTCGAGCATTTTGAGCATACATTGTATCTTCTCCAACATAATATGATGTTGTAGAGGTGTGCAACTCAAAGCAGTGCATAGCATCTATAAAAAGGTTTCATATACAGTACTTTCAGTATTGAAAGTTCTTGAATCAAGAAAGGACATGTAGTAAATATGTACATACCCCCTTGAAGACATTTAGCAGTTTCAATAGATAAAATTTCTGCCAATGAAATTTCTCGATAATACTTTGTCCCTGTGTCACTTTGAAACAAAGTAATAGCCTTACTGTCAAGTCTCCAGTAATGTCTTTTTCTCTGTAAGGAATAAATATGATTAGATTTAAATAAGTGGTAAAGCCTGAAAATGGAACGACAAAGAATAATGCAAATAAATTATAATTACCGTGCGATCTTTATTAGTGAAATGCACCATCCATCCCTCCTTAATGACTTTAGATCCACGCCGTTTTGTGTGCTTAACTGATTGGACAATTCTCATGAGGGGAATGTTGTTACTTGGAGATGACCTGAAAATTTTGAAATTAAATTAAAAATAACTCAACAAGCAAAGGAGCATTCCTTTTATTCAGTTTTGAGGGCCTTACGTTGCTGGCCTAGGCCGCTGACCATCACCATCTTCCTCTCCAGTCATAAGATCCTGATGAGAAAAAAAAAATGCGATAATATATTTTTAACTACTGTCTTTTTGAATCTCAAGTCACTGTGTCAATACTAACAACATAGCGTCCATTGGCATTTGGGGACTCTGCGGCAGAACTCTGCCCTGCATCACTGGGCGAAGCAGATCCAGTGTCGTCATTTTCTGCATCGCTGTCCTCTTCAACTCCGTCCCTGCTACTTTCACGGTCTGGCTCGCTCCCCATTCCACTGTCTGGATACTCTCCTGAAAATTTAATGCACAGAAGAAGTACATGTATCATTTTTCTTTGTCAAAATTTAAAGTTAAAAAGTCCTCTTATATCCATACCTCCTTCTTTTACGCTTTCACCCGGGCAGTCTTTGGGAACTTTTTCAACACATTTCTTGTGCACATTGTAGTGGCAATCCTTGCATTGGAGGCCTTGTTTAAATAAACCCTTCAATAACTTCTTGCAGATCTGGCACAGAGTGGGGCGAATGTAGCTATGAACCAGGAAGGTGTGTGGAATGGGGCACCTTGCAGCCATTTCCTTCTCCACCCAAGGGGGTCTGCCACCAAGGGAAGGGGACCTGCTTTGTTTTGGTACGGATAAGGTAACTGCCCCAAGTTGCTGCATTAAGCTTTGCTGCAATCAAAGGCAAACATTAGCACTTACAATGTAACAACAAGTTCCATTGCAGGAAATTAGGTGACTTACCATTCCACTTGATTCATCAGAGACTGAAGTCAGTGAGGAGGTGGAACCAGTTTCTGAGGGACTATGAGGAACTTGCAACGTTGATGATCTACGGCGCCTTTGCTCTCCAATGTCCAGAATAGCGTAAGAACAGTTGTTGGGTATTTTTATTATGCACCTCTTGTGATAGTTTTGTCCACAACCTGAAAGAAATTACAAGATTAAATGCACATTCAATGGTAGTCATGATATGACTGAGAATCAATTGAGAAATAAATAAAGAAGTTTGGCCTAATTTAGCTCACCTTCACATTTTAAGCCCTGTCTGACCAAACCAAACAGCATTTCAGCACAAAAGTCACAGAACGTCGGGACTTTGTACGAGTGGACAACCAAGGCATGTGGTCTGAGAGGCACGTCATCGCCAGCGATTTCAGGAACAGCAGGAGGCAAAGTAGCTGCAAGTAAACAGTATCAAATGAAAGGCGAGCGATAAAAATTCATCAACATTAAAAATAGAGTTTAGAAAAATGGAATCACGCAAAAAACAAGGGCGGATCCAGAATTGTCCGGGGGGGGGGGTGGCGCTTTTTGCCCACTTTCAGGGGCAAGGTGTTGCCTTTGCCTAATTTTCAGGATCAAAGAGGCTTGTCTCCCCATTCCTCACCCTCCCCCCCACTTTAAATCCGCCCTTGACGCAAAATTAAAATGAACCGCTGCACTCACATGGGGTTTTTTTTCCCAATTGTTAAAGTTCCCGGGTTTGGGGGGGTTTTTTTTTGGGGGGGCCCCGGGGGGGGCCCCCGGGGGAAAAAAGGGGGGGTTTTTTTAAAAAAAAAACCAAAAAGGGGGAAAAAAACCCCAAAAATTTTTTTTAAAAAAAAGGGGGGAAAAAAAAAAAATTTAAAGGGGGAAAAACCCCCCCCCCCTTTTTTTTTGGGGGGGGGGGGGGGGTTTTTTTTTTTTTTAAAAAAAAAAACCTTTGGGCCCCCAAAACCCCTTTTGGGGGGGGGGGGAAAAAAAAAAAACCCCCCCCCCCCCCCCCCCCCCAAGGAAAACCCAAAAACCCCCCTTTTCCCCCAATTTCCCCCCCCGGCCCGCCCCCGGGGCCCCCCCCGGCCGCGGCCCCCCGGGGGGCCCCCCAACCCCCCGGGGGGGGGGGTTTTTGGGCCCCCCGGGGGCCCAAAAAAAAATGGAAAAAAACCCCAAAAACCCCCCCCCCCCCCCCGGGGGGAGGGTTTGGGGGCCCCTTTAAACCCCCCCCCAACCCCCCCGGGGGGGGGAAAAACCCCCTTTGGGGGGGAAAAAAGGGTTTCCCCCCCCCCAAAGGGGGGAAAAGGGGGGAAAAGGGGGGGGGAAAACCCCCGGGGTTTAAAGGGGGGAAACCCCCCGGGGGAAAAAATTTTTTAATTTCCCCCCAAAACCCTTTCCCCTTTTTAAAAAAAAAATGGTTTTTTTGGGGGGTTTTCCAAAAAAAATTTTTTAAAAAAAAAAAAATTTTTTTTTTTTTAAAAAAAAAAACCCCGGAAAAAATTAAAATTTTTTTAAAAAAAAAATTTTTTTTCCTTTTTTTTTAAAAAAAAAAAGGGTTTTAAAATTTTTTTTTTGGGAAAAAAAAATTTTTCCCCCCCTTTTTTTCCCCGGGCCCCCCTTTTTTCCCTTTTTGGGGGGCCCGGGGCCCCTTTTTTCCCTTTTTTTTTAAAAAAAAGGGGGGCCCCCCAAAAAAAGGGGGGGTTTTTTGGGGCCCAAAAAAAAAAAGGGTTCCCCCCAAAAAAAAAGGGGGGTTTTTTTTAAAAACCCCCTTTTGGGGGGGGGCAAATTTTTCCCCTTTTAAAATTTTGGGGGCCCCCCCCCAAAGGGGGCCCGGGGGGCCCTTTGGGGGGCCCCCCCGGTTTGGGGCCCCCCCAAAAAGGGGGGGGGGGGCCCCCAAAAGGGGGAAATTTTTTTTTAAAAATTTTTTCCCCCGGGAAAACCCCCCCCCCTTTTTTTCCCCCCCCCCCCCCGAAAACCCCGGGGGTTTTTTGGGTTTAAACCCCCCGGGGGTTTTTTTTGGAAAAAAATTTTTTTGGGGGTTTTTTTTCCCCCCCCCTTTTTTTTTTTTTTCCCCTTTTCCCCCCTTTTTTTCCCCCCCCTCCTTTTCCCTTTCCCCCCCCCCCTTTTTTTTTCCCCCCCCCTTTTTCCCCCTTTTTTTTCCCCCCCCCCCCTCCTTCCCCCCCCCCCTTTTTTTTTTTTTTTTCCCCCCCCCTTCCCCCTTTTTTTTTTTCCCCCCCCCCTCCCCTCCTTTTTTTTCCCCCCCCCCCCCCCCCTTTTTTGGGGGGGGGGTTTTCCCCCTTTTGGGTTGGGGGGCCCCCCCCCCCCCTTTTTTTGGAATTTGGGGGGCCGACCCCCTTTTTTTTTTCCCTTTTTTGGTTAAACCCCCCGGGGGGAAAAAACCCCCCCCCCTTTAAAAAAAACCCCGGGTTTTCCCCCCCCCTTTTCCCCGGGGGGGGCCCCCCCACCTAAGCCTGAGAAAGTTTTCTAGCGTTAGCATCGCTTAATAGCGTTAGGGCTGCTAAATCGTTTTTTAGCGTTAGGGCCGCTAATTCGCTAGTTAGCGTTAGCGCGCTAAAACTTCTCTTAGCGGCAGATTTAGCGCGCTAAATTTTTCGAACAGCGCTAATAGCGTTAGCGTTAGCGCGCTAAAGTTTCAAATTAGCGTTAACAACCATGGTCCTCGCCCTCCTTGCAAGTTGTGAGTCCGTAAGGACGCATGACGGAGACACCATCCATGGTGGTATCCATGGTGGTTTTTCCCATTTTTTGGCCTTAGAGGGGGGTGTCCTCTTCTCCCCTGAACAGAACTTATTTCTTTAAGTCGGTAATGTTAGTTGGTGTCGGCCGAGGTCATATTTACGTCAGTGGGACATCATCAGTATGTCATGAAATACTCTGCTCGATAGCCACTTTGATGTCATTATGACCTCTTCCGGCATGACTAAAATCAGATATCATCGTGACATCATCCTGACATTGGTGTTCCACCTGGGAGGGTGGCCACTCGTCCCACCTTGCGCCGCCGCTGCGTTCCACGCCTTCCAGGCAGCCGAGTCTGCCTCTGCCTCTCTCTCTCTCTCTCTCTCTTCCCTCTCTCTCTCCCCCTCTCTCTCTCTCCTCTCTCTCTCTCTCCCCCCTCCCCTCCCTCCCTCTCCCCCCCCTCCCTTTTCCCCTTTTCTCTCTTTTCTCTCTTTTTCCCTCTCCCCCCTCTCCCCCTTCCCCCTCTCCCCCTCCCTCTCCCTCTCTCCCCCCCTCCCCTTTTCTCCCTCTCTCCCTCCCCTCTCCCCTCTCTCCCTCCCCCCCCTTCCCCCTCTCCCCCCCTCTCCCTCTTCCCCCCCCCCTCCCCCCTCCCCCCCCTCTCCCCCCCCCCCCTCTCCCCTCTCCCCTTTTTTTTCCCTCTCCCCTCTCCCTCCCCTCCCTCTCCTCTCTCTCTCTCTCTCTCTCTCTCTCTCTCTCTCTCTCTCTCTCTCTCATTTTGCGCGCAGGCGGACGGCGAGTCCCAGGTCACGGAGTCCCAGAGGCACCCGTGCCGCCAACGAGGCGAGGTGCGCTGCGCAGCGCTGCGAGTCACTGAACAGCAGACTGACTCCGCGACACGTTCTCGTCGCTCTGTCTCTCTCGCACTCACGGGGCGTCCCCTGCAGGTGCGAGAGAGACAGAGCGACGGAAGCGACTCTGGGAATCGGTCTGCAGCGCGGCGCGTGCTCCGCTCGCTGGCCCTAGAGAGACAGGGCGACGCGGCGACGCGGCCAGCCAGCCAGAAGTCATGTCACAAAGAAGCCGGCCACGCGCCGCGCATTCCCAAGCGAAGCGCCGTCGAGTGGACACCGTGCAGCACGCACCCACACTGTCGAACCGAGGGTGGAGAACCCCCACACCTGAAGTGCCGGGGTAGGGAATTTGCAGTCTCCGCGCACTTGCAAGAGCAGAGTTTGACACTTCAAGTGTGGAGATATCTCCACGTTTGCACCACGCCAAACACACTAAATGTTTTGGTACAAATTTTGTACGAGACATCACAGTTTTTTGTAGACGCGAATTTTTTGTACAAATTTGTACGAGTTTTTGCACAAAAAGGGGAATTTTTTGCAGTTTTCCGTACAAAAATTGTACGAAAAGTTCGTGTGCACAAAAAAAATGTGATGTCTCGTCGAGGGGGCAACCACTCTAGAAATCTTGTGTCCCCTTGGCGCTAGAAATCTCTGGGAAATCTGAAATCTTGCCGCAAAAAAGGCCAAAAACAAGCTAATTTTGGGCGGAATATCGGTTAAAATCTTGCGAAATCCGATAATCTTTAGCCTTAAGAAATCTTGTGTCCCCAAACATCCAATGTGGTTGCCCCCTCGTGTCTCGTACAAAACTGAACATAGCATTCGGTATGAAGATAAGGCACTCTGTGAGCATCTCCGCACTGTCAACCCAAGTGAAGAGTTCCGCGCCAGGATGCGTGGAGTTCTTCGCAGCTGGTTCGACAGAGCCGGAGGCGGGCTGCCACAATGCGATTGTTTACATCCGATTGAAAATAAATATCGGCCCTGTTTGTCGTCGCGAGATTGAGATTGGCGCGGGGCCAAAGCGAAGCTCATCTCACCGAAAACTCTGGCACCTCACCACGCACCCTCACTGTGAAACCGAGTGTGGTCCACACTTGTTTCCACGGGGGTCGCTCCACACTCAGAGGGTGGAGTTCTGTGCGTCTCAGCCTGCGAAGAGATAGGGCACACTGTGAGCAACTCCACACTTGAAGTGCAGAGACTGCAAACTCCACGCGACTAAGTGTGGAGAATTACTCCTCCCTCACCAGGAAGAATGAAGTTCTCCTCGAAGGTAACTCTGAAAAACAGTGTTGCCAAAGAACAATTAGCAATATTTTTTTTTCTTCAAGTTGCCAAGATTTACTTTTACAGTGCGGCGCTGCTGGGGACGGCAGGCAAGCCAACGCCAGGACGACAGGCGTCGCCTTCTGGGCTACTTATTACACCATCCTCGTTTCCAGGTCTTCACGAGTGGCGTTGTAGAGTGAAATGAGTTTAGGAACGATTTCGGAGATAAAGGCAAGAGAGGCTGGGGGCGTCGGGGCGCGGCGGAGGGCGGGGGTTAGTCTGTCATGATGCAACTTGTGCGCACCAGCCAGCGGACGCTAAAAACTCAAAGGTGAAAGATTAAGCCACCCTGGGTCAGGGAAAATTCGTATGGTGAGATATTCCCGCCCCGTTACCGGTGAGAGTATCAGAATCCTCACCTTGAAGTGGTGACAGTGTTTCCAACTCATGCAGGATGGTACAAAAAATCATGCCAAAATATGGTGAGAATTTTGACCCTCGGCACAGAACGGTAAAAAAATATTTTCCCCCAAAGTTTGGTCAGAATTCTCACCCTCCAACTTGCAGTGGACAAGGCGTCATTCTGGACGACGTGCCTAAGACGCCACCTCGCCCCTCCTTGGCGCGGATGC